TTATGAAAGTATATTTACTACTAACTTCAATACGACTGACTCTGAAACATATACAGTATTCCTCCATGTATGATAATATAAACAAAAACAAAGTCATCAAGTGTCGATGACGTTTCTAATACACTACAGATGCAAAACTGGAAAAAAAAAAGATAAAAATATCTCAGGATGGAAAGGCGGTGTAGTACACGTGGAAGATGCTGATGTCAAGAGAGCTTGTATGTTCAGGAGGTGTGTGTGTTGCAAATGCATCAGACCGGAGAATTTCTTGCTACGTTGTTCATGTGTGAAAGGTAAATTCTAGAGAAAGTCTGGACCCAATTGTGTGGAAAGCCTCTGGAGTTCATGTTTGAAAATGGCTAAGTATGAAACAAGGACCTAAGAACTTGTTCCAAGAACAACTAGCTAAGAACAAAACATACACATTTTTGCATTTTGTTTGCATTTTGAGTGTGTGTGTGTGTGTGTGTGTGTTTGTGTGTGTGTGTTTGTGTGTGTGTGTGTGTGTGTGTGTGTGCGTGTGTGTGTGTACCTGGGGTTGGTAAGGTTGTAAAAGCTCTTCCAGATTTGCAGCATGTGTTTACAGGTGAGCAGAGCTTCCTCTGGTCCTCTGCACATCGACTCAAGTTTCACCTTGGTATACAGCAGACTGCGGGATAAAGCGCACACTTAAATACACAGTAATCTGAAGCTAGGTCTAATGAAACACAAGTAAACACACATGCAAGCTTTAAATGAAGCGTAGCACTTGTGTGTGGATCTTACTTGAAGTTCTCCGGGTACTCGGACAGGGCCATCTCTATAATGTTGAGAGCATCGTGGTAGTGTTTCTGAGCAGAGAGCAGCAGGGCCAGCAGATGAAGGGAGTGGACATCATCCCCTTGAAGCTGCAACGCCTGTCGAACATACCCTAGTGCCTCTGGGATCTACACACACCCACACACACAGAGACACACACAGAGACACACACACACACACACACACACACACACACACACCAACACAGACACACACACACACACAGACTACAGGTTTTTACTACAGTTGAACTAAAAAGCATCCCTGATGCTCCTAACCATTAGCTTATTCACCTCGATAGATAGATAGATAGATAGATGGATAGATGGATAGATAGATAGATAGATGGATAGATGGATGTACTTTACTCATCCCGATTGGGAAATTGTTGTATCACAGCAGCAGGACATTCATAAAGAGTAAAGAACAAAAAGCTAAATACAAGAAATTACAAAGAGACAAGGTGCAAATTTGTAATATTTGTGAGGAACATCACCAAAGTAATAAATATGACTATATGCAGTAAAATAAACATGAATATAATATGTGCAAAATAAACAAATCAATTAACAGTTATTGCTGCAGTAATTACTAGCAGTACTATCAGAGGTGGGAATTGTACAGTCTTATTGCTGTGGGCAGGAAATACTTCCGGCATCTGTCCACCAGGTGGTGGAGAGGGTGCTCTTGATACATCACAGTGTCTCACCTGTCTGGACACAGCAAGCTGCAGTGCTAAGTAGAAGGCTGCGAGGTGGTCAGTTGGAGACAGACTCTGAGCTCTACACAGAGAGAAAGAGAGAGAGTTTGTGTTCAGACATGCTGAATAAAAAATGAAATAAGATTATATGAAACTTTAAAGATCCCTATGGGGAAATTGGGTGGCTGCAGCAGCAAAATGATAAAAGGCTACGTAATAGAACATGGAAGAAAACAAACCAAAGCACAATTAAACATTTAGACACAATTAACAACACTATCAGAATATATTTATGGAAGGACGTTGTCTAAGGACAGAAATTGGTGCCAAGCAATGTTCTAAAGGCCTGATCTACTAAGATCCCAAATAAAGAGTGCAACATTGAATGACAACAAGTGCAAACATGGTAGAGGGAGTAGTATTTAAAAGAGTGTTTTACTGGTTTCCACCATGGAGCATTACAGAGAGCATGCACGCAATCCTCAGCTTGCATGTGTTTTTGCAGGTGAAATCAAGTTTGCACACGTTTTTTTACAGGCGCAAACCTTTAGTAGATCAGGCCCTTAGTGCGCAGATTGAACGGATACAAGCAAATTTAGTGTCAAAAGATACAGTATGGTTCTGATACGGTCTTGTCTTTATACCAATCCTTATTTTGTTACATTGGATAAAAGCTAAACGTGCAATCAAAATTAATTGTGTGGAAAATGTGGGAGTAAAACAGAAAACAGAAAGGAGAGCAACATGGCTCAGTCCCAACCTCTGGAAGGCACCCAAAGCTTTCCTCTGGTAGTCCTCCTGCATGCTTCTTAAGGAGGCTAAAGAGACACAGAGACAGAGAGAGACAAACAAACAATCAAAACATCATCAATCCACAAACACATTTTTATCACAATTATTTTGAAAAAAGAAACAACAAAGTGCTTCATTTAAGTATGATTCTAATCTTTTCTAATTGATGTACAATAACACGTAAACTCAAATAAAATTCAAACTTACCATCAGTGGCTTTAAGGCTGTAAACCAGCCCAATGGCCAAGAAGCCTTTGGCTCTGAACTCAGCAGCTTTCTCCCCCATGTCAATCACCATCTTAGCAAAGCACTCACCGTCATCCAGCTGAATTGTTTGAGTAGAAATATAATAAGAAGGGAGAGAAAACAGGAAGGGGAAATGGCGATAAATAAAATGATTTTATAAACAACATTTGGTTTGACAGAGAAACGTGACATATACAGAAAGGTATAAAATAAGTGAGCAGTGTTTGAGTTCATGTCTGTAGAATGGCCGTTACCCAGTGCAGGGCTCCGATACACAGTTTGACAGCCAGCAGAGGGATGGTGGGGTCGTCAGGCTTTAGACGAATACACTCCTTAAGGACCTTAACAGCACGAGCAGATTTGCCAGCAGCCATTAGTGACAAGGCGAGCTGGTACCACAAATGGAACTCTTCAAAGGCAAACTTCATAGCCCTCTCCAAACACTGGACGGATTGGAAAAAAAGGACACATTTCATTCGAATCATTAGGGTACATCAAATGTACATCTACTCATTTTACAATCTTCTGAATGTGCAATGTGAACTGTTCATCTAATCAACTTTACACATGGCATGTGTGGAGTGCAGGGTTGAGTTTGGTGTGATTGGGACACACAATACACTTCATGGGATCACTTCCAGGATGGCAATTTGTCTTCATAGTAAAACCACAATGTTCATTTGTTGCTGCAATGTATTATATTGAGCTGAATAACAGAGTTTTTATTTTTGGTTGTGAACCTGGTTCTGAAGATTGTGTTGACTGCTGAAATAGCCAACATGCAATGTAAGGACAACACCGGTTTAGTCAATAATTCAAACTTATATATAAACCACACATGTGGTACAGTAATAAAGTAAATTCAGTTTTATTTATACGCTAAAATCTTCACTGCAGAAAAACTGGGTGGGATGGACACAAAGTTTTCTAACTTCACTCTGCACCACTGACTGGTTATAAAAAGCTTCACACACAACATCCAGCACACAAACAATAAAAAGTGACAGTAAATTGAAGAACTGTTTGAGGAGGACTCACTGATGACAAGTAATAATTCTGAAGAGAACATGAAGGTTTAGAACGGGCACTGACCTGGTCATGCTAAATTCAACCATCACCAGCACTATTAGATTTTAGTAAGACGTGAGTCAGTATTGATGTGAGATTAAAACAGGTGTAGTAGGTGTGTTTGGGCCTTTAACACTTCTAACTATCACTCTGACTGTAATATTACTCACCTCTGACAGCATCTCGTACTGCCCCCTCCTCCCCAGAGCTATAGTCAGCAGGTCGTACACCACAGACGCAGACTGTAGGCTGATGATACGATCATTATTGTGTTCAGGAATTCTGCTCAAGACGGCATCACGGTTAGCCTGCAACACAAACACACACCAAGGACAGGTATTAGTTTATAGCTGTTAGAACAGCACTGTGTGAATGTTCCCTGGCCTAGTAGAGGATCCACTGTTTTAAGTAGAGGATCCACTGTTTTAAGACATGTGAAATATTTTCCACTGGGCGTTTGTGTCTCACCATGGACTCACTGATGAGCAGCAGCAGCAATGCCTCTTCTGTATTCTCCTGAGGGCAAAACAAACTGAGAGAGAGAGAGAGAAAAGCACCAACAGTTAGAAGAAGGAGTTAGACGTTGTAGGAGCCACTAAGCAACCTGCATTATACAACAGTTAAAGCATATTTTGTATTGTGTATTTGCTAATATTTTGTTATATTCTGCTTTACGTGCTAATTTACGGCTTATTGTAACAGTTGACACGCTAAGAGTTGAAAATGCTGTAGTGTAGTTTAGTGCACATGCGTAGATTTTCTTTACAGCATGGATTTCAACTTTTTGACCGTGACACTGTGATGACATGAAACGTGCAACCTGCAACGGCCAATGTTACATTGGGCTTTCACAACAAGGCCAGACGCATCTCAGTTGGACACGAGTCAAACTTAGTAATCACTCTGCAACATTAAGTGGCCTATTGGAACGAGGAACAAGGTAAAACAGCCACTAGAGACATTGAGAGAAAGTGTGAGAATGAAGAGAAAAGTGATGGAGAAGATGCAGAGAGTTACCAGTGGAAAATTACACTGGCAACAGATTTAATTTTAGAACCATGTTGGCGATTTTTCTCCATTCTCCAAGTTTAGCATCAAGAAAAACGTTATCACTTACTTCTCTCCCGAGTACACTCGTGGGTGTCGGCTAAGGCTGTAGTTCTTGCTGTGAGTGTGTCCTTGCCGTGTTGGATCGTCCAATGGTGACACCGTGGGCGGGTCTTCCACAGGGGACCAGTAACTCTGTTCGCACATTCCTCTGAGCAAGATCTCTGCAAGCTGTCTGGCTATGGTCTGCATGCACACATATTCATACACATTTGTAAAAACATACTTTGGCCCCTACACATAAGCAATCTGTTTACTTGGCGCTTACTTTACTTCATTTTTTCCCACTGTGATCAGACTGAGGGAGATGGTAAGTAAATGGTATTCCACATTTTTGAGAACATGCTTAGATGCTCTATTGCCAAATAAAAAAAAAGACAATATCAAATCTCTGTGCGATAAACATAAAACTTGAGGACCAGGCAGGAAGTGACTGCAGGTGACTGACACATCGACGTTTCCAAACTGTCCACAAAAAAGCTCCAGAGTTTTCAAACTAAAACATTATCCAACTTATATCAAGGAATCTAATTGTGGTTCCCAAAATTTCAAACAATTCCTTTAAGTAAGGAGGGAAGCCTGAGGAAAAGTGAGATGTAAATGTGGCCTGAATTCTAAGTGAAATAAATAAGTAACACATCACTCACCATGCGCAGGTTCTGTGTGGTTCTGGTCTCAACAGCCCGAAGAATCTCTCGAAACCGTCCAACACCTTGTGTGAGGTTACTACAGACAGGAAACAGGAAGAGAACCACTTGTCAGGATCTGCAGTTATGATTGTACGAGATATTTCAAATCATACAACACACCATTTCCAAAACACTTTCAAGTTTTTGTGGGAGTCAATGACTGGGAATATTAAGTAGCATTAATAACAGATGTTTGTAGTTCCTAGTTTTTGCTATGATGTCTAAGGGTTATGTTGTAAAGCTTAACAAAGTAAATACCAAATATTGCCTTCCACGTCTTTGATTCTTGAAGAACAAGAAGACATTTTCAAAGATAAAATACAGAAATAGTGAAAGACAATGTCAATAAAGAATATCATCTACTTTTCTAAATTTAAAGCCATCACTTGAGGCTTCAATAATGAAGATTCTGTATCTGATACCAGAATTTAATTTGGATGATCAGTGTCTACATCTTTTAGGTTCCTTCTTTTTTTCCTCTGAGATGGAAGCGAATCCATTGCAAAAAATATACAAGACATATGCAGTTGCTACAGTCATGCTGTACTTAAAACAACAACAGCGTGGGAACTACTTTCAGCTGCACTGAGAATGTTATTTAACCGTCTTCATGCTTTCATGCTTTTAACCACCTGTCAGCAGCTTTGTAACACCATCATTGCAAAGTGGGTGGAAAGCGCCCACAAAGGGTTTTTCTTAGTGTCTGTTTGGGCAACTGACGCCCTTTCTAAATAATAAAACAGGTCAACATTCAAGAGCAGAATAAATAAAGTTAAAACATCTTTGTGATGCTTTCGCTCATTTATCTGCCTCTTATATTCATCTACCACCATCTGTTTCCCTTGCTCACCCATTCCTGAAGTGGATGACGTGGGCCCTCTGCAGGCCCGTCTCCAGGAAGTAGCCCAGCTCCTGGTCCTGGGCCGTCGGCCCGGGTTTAGGGCTGCGATTCTGAATCCCTACTGACAAAGCCTGCAGAAAAACACACAGAGGGGTAAGGACAGTTCTGCCTGAATAGAGTGGTCAAACATCTATGTCAAAGTGGTAGCAGTGCCATAGATGGTTATCTATTCTTTGATAGACAACTGCCAATGACAGGTAGAAAAATAGGGTTGACATAAAATAATGAGCTGTGCAGAGTTGTCTTTATACCGAGCACAAACTGATTTCACAACTTGACACAGCTGCACTGCAAACTGTCAGCGCTGGGATAAACTCTGTCTAGTTTGTAATCTTGGGTGACGAACTCTCAGGGGAAAAACTGGTATCGATGTTCTTTATCGAGTGTTATTTCAATTTTCAAATTAATCACCTCTATGATTTCATTTTTACATTTCATTTATTCATTCATTAATGATCACATTTCTGTCTTTTAGTGAAATGTGTGCATGAGAAAATGTATAGCAGTATAATGATGACCTTATAATAGGAACATAGTAATTAGGCTGGAGTTGATTGATAAAATCGCTAGTTTTGTTTCCATATGGGGGCAGTTATGCAGGAGGCTGAGCTAAAAGTATTAACTCAATAATTGGTGAATCAATAGAAACTTACTTGGCAATTATTTGACATTAGATTTATCATTTAAGTCATTTTTAAGCAAAAATGCCCCAAATTTTGTGGTTACAGCCTCTGAGTCGTGAGCATTTGCTACTCTTGTTTGTTTTCTATGATAGTAAACTGTGCATTATTGGGTTTTGGACAGGTTTTCAGACACAACAGAATAATTCATAATTTGTCATATATAATTAAACAATTCAAAAAACAAGCAGCAGATTAACCAGTAATGAAACCATTACTTGGAACCCTGGATTTACCAGATTGGAGATTCTTTTAACTTCACTGACATTATTCTATATTACAGTTTATTTTTAAATATTCCTCCAGCTCACAATTGTTTGTATCTCTGTACAAATGTGTGAATTTGACCAGATATGCAATGCATTTCTTTTATTATACCTTATATCACACCACTACTATCACACCTTCTGTTAAATGAGCTTATGGGATATATCTCACATGACTTTTAGTATAATGTTGATGTTGGGAATCTTTGATGTGTATCCGCTCATCTTTTATTATATTGTGCTGTTGCTTGCCAGCTTTTTCTGTGTCCTAAGAGACGGTCTCCAAATAAAGACGAACAGATTTGTTTGCCAGTTGGTTGTCATGGGTGGTGGTAATGCATTAGTCAAACTTGCACACTATTCATCACACACACCTTTTCAGCCTCCTGCAGGTACAGAAGAGCGATGTCTCCAGACTTTTCATAGCATAAGATGATTTCCTGGTCTCTGTCTGTTGTGCTCCTATTGGACGATGGAGAGCCAGTGTTCCTATTGGACAGAGACGGAGAAGCAGCTGGGACCTTCTCTAGACACAGTCCTGAGGGGAGAAGATGAGTGACTGATTAAAGTGACAGGAAAAGAAAAAAAAAAGTGACAAAGGCTGTGAGTAAATTTTCAGTGTGTGGTATTCATTTGTAGCCTGTCAAAGCGATTTTTAATGCACTTGTTTGTTGTAGTTTTTGACACTGGGATGATCATCTTGCCTTTCTGATGTTTTCAAACCAATCTGCTTTGAGTCTCAAAATATAATATATGTTTAGTAAGTACCAATCATGAATCTAAAGATATATTGTTTTCTGTTTTAAAGGCAAAATATAAAATTAAATTACAATAAAACAGGGAAATATCAACAGCATAAACATTATTAAACAATGCTGGTTGTGTGATTACGTGCATCTATTTATATAATTACTCCTTATATTAAACTACAGCTGTTGATCAGCAGTGACACTGTGACATCATGTGGAGAGAAGTGGTACTGCAGAGATTAAGGCAGATTAGACTGGGGTGACGTTAAGGACATGAGACATAGACCATATAACGATAACTGGCTGTGTGTGTGTGTGTGTGTGTGTGTGTGTGTGTGTGTGTGTGTGTGTGTGTGTACAGACCTTTAGTAGCATAAGCCTCTGCTATCATAGAAAGTCTATACACAGGAGCTCCCGCCGGCTGCATGTCTTCCAGATTCACTCTGCTGTAGTGACCTGTCAAAACAAATGTATTGTATTAGAAAATAAATGTACTGATGTTATATGCTGATATTTCATATATACAATTAATAACAGTTTTTCAATAAATAAAATAAAAGGAATCAAAACATAAAAAATTGTGTGTTAGTCTTTTGCACATTTGTGTTATCTGCACATCACAATATGTCCCTACACTTATGTACAAACGTTTTTCTACTTGCTTGTGCAATCATCCTGTGCCACTGCTCTTTACTTAATAACATTTCGATACAAACCACTTCTCCAGTGAAAGGCGTATATTATCTACATGCTCTGCATTTTTATTTGAATGTTTATCTTTATACTATTGCCTTATATATATTTAGATTTTCTTCTCTACTCCATTGTGACTTGCCTGTTGGTTTAACTACTGAATTTCCCTTTTGTGTAGGTCAATAAAGTGTTTATCTAATCTTAAAAAAAGAAGAAAAATGTTTTAATGGTTAATGGTCATTTTTGTATGTACGAATATTACAAATTGTGGCTCTCTCTGAGGCTTCTGTGTTTTCCCCCTGTTAATAGTTTTTACTGTTGTTTTTCCTCACTCTTAATGAGGGTTAAGGGGACGTCACACCTTGTTAAGCCCTATGAGACAAACTGTGATTTGTGAATATGGGCTATACAAATAAAAATGATTGATTGTAATAGTGTGTATTACCTAAAGCGTCTCTGTATTCTCCCTCAACATAGCAGAGTTTAGCCATTAGCAGGCTAGCTTCCTGGAGGTAGTCGGCCTGTAGAACAAAGAATGTGAATTTGTGTTAGAGGACATTAGAGGAAAGCCACTACATACCCTAAAGAGCATGCTCCATACATCCAAGTGGAAACCCCTCCACCCACCAACACACAGAACAGGAGGTCAACAGTTCTAAGTTAATCTGTTCAAACCTGATATTAAAATGTGTCTCCTGTGACTATTTGTGATTGAATCTCACTTCCCCACTTTATATGCCATAGACCAAACTATGCATGGGTATGAAACAGATGTGACTGATGTGTCAATGTGTGTCAGGACGGGCTGAGAGAATCAATGCACTGCGTGCAGCTCTCTCGTTGAATGACATTTTACCCATTTGAAAAGAAAATGATTATGTGGTGGTCAGTGGAGATATTGTGGCAGTAACAAATCAATGTATGGACACTGAGAAGAGTAAAAATAAGTTTTGTTCATCTTCTGAGCAGACAATCGTAAATATGAGGCCCAGGATATATTTATGATCATACAGCGAAAAAGAATTTGGCCACATGCATCCCAGAACACTTTTGATTGTGGTCTGAGTGATCAGATCTAAGGACACATTTGGGTGCGTTCACATATGTACTTGCACTGCCCACTTGTGATTGGATCACTCAGGACGAATGTTATTACCAGGTCTGAACTGGGTCAATGTTCCTCTCAATGCTAAAGGATTTTCCAGTGAAAACATTATGAACTGTGTTTCCATCTTTAACTTAAGTTGAAAAACATGATGCAATAGAGACAGTTATATATAATGTCATCTTAGCGTGAATCCCTTCAAAAATATTCAAATAACTGCACAATATTTCAAACATGGAATTGGAGATACCATACAATTAGGAATAAATGAGGAACAAGAACTAAGAAAACTAACTTGCTGTGTGACTTCACAGACAAGTACCAAGTCATTCAGCCGCCAGTCATCAGTCAATCATTGGTTACCTTGAGGTTCCCTCTGTCCAGAGCAGCGGTGAGGTGCTTCCTGACCTCCACCAGTTTCGGTCGTGGGCCCCGAGGACTGGCTCCCTGTTTGATGGGATTTTCCTTCAAGTACGTCTGAAGCTTGCATTCTCCCAGCAACAGCTCCCCAAGGTCATCTACAAGTACATGTTCAAAAAATAAAAGTGTAAAGACCGATAATGCTCCTCCATGCTCATCCACCATTGTTACAGGCTTGACATAAATAAAGTAGGGGTCAGTCTGGAGAAAATATACAAGCAGTAATCTAAGGCCAATATAATATACAGCTAATCAAGGATTACTGTATAAGGTTACAAAGTCAATCTACTTCCAATCTAGGATTAATCTACAATGTATTGATATGCTTGATTGAGAGTGTAGGAAACACATCAACACACATTGCTTTACTGGCACACATACAGGCCAGAATTATGAATAGTCACAAGCTTCAAAATTGTGTGAGTGTGTGTTTAGCAGATCAAATGGTGAACTGACCACTAATCGTCTTATTCAACACTTAAAACCGATTCCAGTGAGCAGAGCTAATAGCTCTCATGTGCCAAAGTACAGTCATGCTGACATTCCACACTGGCAGCATTTTCCATAACAGTCAGGCATCTACAGTGAATATCCACATCTAGCAAAATAGATAAATAGAAGGTGGTTGTGTTTGCAATTACTCAGAATCAGTTTGAGTCTATGTTATAATCACATTTATTCAGCACAACAATCACGATTCTTCAGGAGTCTTCAAACTTTTACCAAGAAAAGCCTCGTGAATATTTTTCTGTTGAAAACTACATTAATCTCAACATTCATATTGACTATAATCTCATTTTTCTTCATCCTCTAAACAGTGGCTGTAAGCCAAAGTGTCCTTGGGCCAGATACTGTACCCCAATTAGCCTCTGACGGCTGTGTATGATAGATGTATGATCGACAAGTTCCCTAAATCGATGCACAGTGTGTGTGTGTGTGTGTGTGTGTGTGTGAATGGGGGGATGGCCTTTACAGAGCTTTGAGTGGTCATCAAGACAAGAAAAACGTTATATAAATACAAATCATTTACCATTTTCACTATGTTGGCTGTGGATGTTCAACTACAACTTATTAAAAAAAGGCAGAGACCTCAATATTTGACTTTTACAGCAATTGGTGTTTCTCTCTTGAGGCTGATTAGTAATAACTATATTACACTGATATACATGGATCTTGCCAGGAACCAATACCAGGAAATATTAATCATGCTGAACGTCTTCATGTCAATGAACTGTATAAACTACCGAGAGCAGGCTGTATACAAGACAGCATGCAGTGTATAAGAGGAGGGAAGTGTCTCCAGTGTGGCAGGTTCGTGATACATTAAAGTCTATTGATCAAGAAAGATATAAAAATATAAAAGTGATAAGAATATAATATTGTTACAAACGCAAAATGACGTTAAATGCACCAGATGAGTCCAAGTAGGATGTTATATGAAAAATAAAAATGAGGACAACAGTTGACTGTACTGTCAGTGGTGCAGTTTACCATTCAGCAGCATTAGCTCGCAGTCTCACAGCTAGCATTTCAAAGTCTGTGAAATGTAACCCTTGTGTTGATTTATCAAATGTGAGGGACTGAAAGCGAAACCCTGGGTTCTCCAGGTAAACTGGGCATTAACACATTCAACTGAGACTTAATGTCATACAATGTCGAGTGGAAGACGGTAACATCAGCTGGAGGCGGCAGTGAAGACAACCAGTTAAAGTCTTAGCTGGTTTGATAATAATACAATGAATAAACTGTCATTAGCTTGTATACTAAAGACAGTGGAGCTCCTCCTGATGGGAGAGCTGGACCAGTGACCCGTGCTGTGTGTCAGACCCCTGGAGCTAAGAGAGCTGAATTCATCCCTGTTTAAAAAGCATCATGTCAGCACGGACCCACCGGAGCTAACCTCCAGTGTAAAGACACCTGTGGTGACCTCTACTAGCGGACTGTCTCTGAGCAGAGTGCTGGGAAAAGTCCCATCATCTGTCCCGGAAGTAGCGAGGACTGAGCGCAGGGACAAGGCCCAGTCCACGAGCCAGCAGTTTCTCACCGTTTGATATGAGCTTGGCCGAGAGCTGCCGCACTAACTCCGGTATCTTGTCCCATTGTCCCTCCGAGCGGCACCGCTCGATCTCCGTCTCCAGTCGAGAGCCAGACTTCCTCGCTGTCATCGTCGTGAGCTCGGTGGACCGGACCAAAACACCGGAGACGATCCTGCCCACTGGCGTCAAGCTAGCCTTTGTCTTCCGGTTAGAACTTTCGAAATAAAGCCCTGGCAGAAGCAGCCGTTGTCAGTCAACGGCTGGTTTGACTGTTTCATCCCAGTGAGACAGAGAGAGACAGAGATAAAGCAAAAGCAACGTGGACTGTGATCCCGAAGCAAAGCAGGGACATCTGGTGGCTGAACAGATAGTCCACATACAGTCCGTACTGTTTGGATTATGCACATTTCTGTCCTTCAGACTCTGAGCTTCATTACTTTCAATTTGGTTTAAAACAATGGTGATATTTAAAATAATGGACTGCACATAGGATTCATGATCCATGTTTGATCATGCAAAAAGGTGAAACATTTAAATATTTGATTGTTTAAAGGTTTTATTAAAACACAAAATATAAATATGTATATACAGACTTTTTGAGTGTTTGTTAAAAAATAACATTTGCATTGTTGGCCTTTTTCTAAATACATAAAAAAGTAATGTAAGACATTTACCCATTGGTTCCATCTTTCCACTCTGCACCACAGCACTATTGTCCTCTGTTCATAATTAAATAGTTAAATGTTTCTTGTCCACCCTTGCACAGTTGTTTCCAGTTGCACTACTGTCTTAGTCTTAGTGAACTTTATTGTTAACCAAACAATGCAACAGGTAGTTACACAGAGGATTGAAATTGCTTTTCCCCATACTCCAAATGTGCAAGTAATATATTTACACAACATATAACATACAAAAAATAGTGCAAACAAACAACAACAACGGAAACAACATATACAGACAGAAAATGGACCTATAGGTTGTATAAGGGGAAAAAAAATATATAAAAAATTCACAGTGTGCAATAGTGTATTCAAATGTTGAGGTATATTATCGAGGTGCTATAATGAAGATGCAATATGGAAAAGTGCAAAGTGCAGAGCAGCAATTGTAAACATGTATGATATTGTGCAGTTTGCCTCTACTAGACATGGCCCTCTTCATTCTGCTAGTTTCTGGTAGTCTGTTGTTAATTGTATGTCTATTTGTGTCAGTACACTGAGCACAACCACACCAGAGTCAAAGTACACAACTGATAAACCTGCATTTCTGTAAGAACACACAATGTCAGACTCATTTAGGATGCTGTAGTAGGAAAAAGAAATGTGCAAATCACACATAAATAATAATACAATTCGATTTCGCTGCATCATTTTTCCATGTTCCATTTGTATTGTGCAGAACACACAATAAAATAAAAATGTCCAACATCCCGCGTCAAATCCTTTATTGTGAAGAGGTCAGACAGGAGGCGGTGCTGGCACACAGGCGGATCGTGGTGAGGTGGAGGTCCTGACAGAGATGGCTGCTCTGCCGCTGAGTTTAACAAGTGTCAACGTTTCCCTCACACCAACTATGGAGACTGAAAAGGTTTGTGCGTGCGATAACACGTTCCGCGTTCATGAACAAGGAAACCAATGTTTGTTTGTGTTAAAGCTAATCACTTCCTCAGTCTTTAAGCTGGCTAACACAAAGTGATGTTAGCTAAACTAAGCTAACTCACCAGCCTCTGTTTTGATGTGGTCACAGTAGTTTGTCAAAGAGTTTCAGGTGACCTACTTTTCTCTCCTCTGTGTGTAGCTGCTCTGCGACTGAAGGTATAATATATAATATATAATATAACTACACTTCAGGTCTACAAACAGATGTCTTTATTCTTTATTCTTTATTCTTCTTGTTTTCTTTGTTGACTTTCTGTCACCAGAGTGAAGGAGAGTCCGTCAAACCTGCTCCACCTGTGCTTTCATATGGGAACTCGAACATTAGCAAATCATTCAAACCCCAGCAAACATTCAGCAATAATGAATTCAACCTCAAGCCGAGTAGAGGAAGTAAAGAAAACATTCAAAGATACTAACAAAACACAAATGAGACACGGTTTAATTTGAAAAGTAGCAAAATCACGAGCAAAAGTTAGAACCTTAGGAATGTTTACAGTTTGGGATATTAGATTTAAAGCAAATGAATCAACTAAAACAAGATCAGCTCAAGGTAAAATAAGTCTAAAAACTTAAGATGCCCATCGGATAAAAATGAGTTGATTTTTTTTTTTGTGATGAGATCCTCTTCTTGTACTCTCTTACTAAACCACTTCCAGAGTCCTGGAGGAGGAGTGACAGACTTTGAGAGTGTGGAGATGGGAGACTCTGCTGGGAGTCAGGGAAGAGTAAAGGTTCCCCGAAGGACCATCTATTTTGCGAGTGGAGAGACCATGGAGGAATACAGCACTGATGAAGAAGAGGAGGATCCTGTGCAGAAAGATGTCGTCACTGTAGATCCAGTAAGCTGAGATCAAGACCCTTGACAGTTGTTTTAATTTTGCAGATACTGGACTAGCCTCACATATCAGGATAAATTATGGGTGGTGTTTGCGTGACAGCAGATATTATCTCAGGACTGTGGGGAGACACAGCATCCATCCATTTATCCATCTATTCATTCATCCATTATATACCATTTATCTTTTTGAGGGTCTCTTAAGAGCTGGAGCCAATCCCAGCTGACATGGGCAAGAGGCGGGGTACTCCCTGGACAGGTCACTAGTGTATCACAGGGTCTTCACTCAAAGACAAACAACCATTGAATTAGATAGAGTCTCCAGTCAGAACAGGGAATCTTCTCACTGTGATGATTTTAAATAAATAATAATGAATAAATGTAAATGGCTAATAACTTCCAAATATGTTTCATTTAAACAATTAGTTTATATTTGTGTTTGACCAGCAGATATGTGATCAGGTTTTGTGTTATCTTATTTTAGGCTAAATTGACCTGGGGTCCATATTTCTGGTTCCAAACGTGGAGAATGGCCACCTCCACCATCTCAGGTAAAGTAGTTCACTGTTAGATTGAAAATTTGTGCTAGCAAGACCATATGTCACAGGTTTTTCATCAGTCTTGTGTTTTGAAATGTGGTTTTTGAGGAAATCTGGAAAGTGGGTAAATGCTCTGAACATATTCTGGAATATTAGCAAATCTTATAAACGATATGCTTTGTAAGAATTCATCAGATTGGTTGGTTTTGCTACTTAAGCTATTATCATGACCAAAAAGCTTAGTCAAGTGTAAGTTACCATAACTCCCTGTGTGTGGTGTGTGTGTGTTTGTGTGTGTGGTGTGTGTGTGTTTGTGTGCGTGTTTGTGTGCGTGTGCGTGTGCTTACCACAGTGTGTGACTACATGGGAGAGAAACTGGCTTCTCTTTTTGGCATCACTAGTCCGAAGTACCAGTATGCAATCGATGAATACCACCGTATAAAGAAAGAGGTAAGATGAATGTGATCTCATACACACACACACAAAGAAACACTTGAGCCTCATATGTAAATATGAATCAAGTCACACCTTTTAAAAGCTGTTTACACAGAGCCAGAAGAAAGAACACAAACAGTAACTCCTAGATAAACAGTATTAAATGCTACACACTGTTTTCCTCTAGGAGGAAGAAGAAGAGGAGGAGAACCGTCTGGCTGAGGATGCAGAGCGTCATTTTGCAGAGCAGCAAAGAGGCGAGCTCGATGCTCCTCCCTCTGCTACTGTGGAACAGCCAGAGGCGTCCAGAGCATCATTTGTTAACATTAGCTTTGAGCTCAAACCTGAGCCTCCTCTCAGCGCTCCAGACACCAACAGAGTCCCTTCCCCTCTCCCCTCCTGAAAACTGGAACTCACAAACCTCTAACTTTCACACATTTCTGTCTAATCTTATTGAACCTAGCTGTATGATTTAATGATGCTGTTATTTTTCTATGCTGTTTTATAAGAGGAAATAGTAATACTTCGTGCAGGGATATATTAAAAGGGCTGTGGAAGTGGCTGCAATAGCCTTATCTGTGAATGTAAATTTTCTGTACAGCCTGACATGCAATTGAACCATTTCTAGAGCAGACAGGGACTGTGCCCATCTCACTTTTAAACATAGAGAAAGTGAAATACATGCTGGGTTATACTCTTACTGAAGAATTTAAATTTAGTGTAGTTTTTTTCCTAGTGTACTAGAGCTTTCCAAGCTAAACCATGGGTGAGAACAGGTAGAGATTAAATAAGTAGCCAGAGCTATTGTATTATCATTTATACACAGGGAATATATTGTCCTCCTCATATCATATCATTGCTATATTGTTGTCTGTAATGAAGAAATACAAACTAGCCTACAAGTTATAAAGAGGAAGAAGAAGAATTAGCCTCAAACAAACCAGAAATTGAATTTCAATGTGATGTTCAAATACATAAGACAGCCCTTCCACCTCTGCCCTCTGTTAACTATTCAATGAAAACTACTGTATGAAGCTGCAGTCTGTGGTCAAAATGTAACTTAAAGAATTGGCAATTCATGTTTTGCTTTTTTTTCAGTGTAAACCTCATCTCTGTGATGATACTTGAAACAGTTTCCAAACAGCAACAACTCCTATAAAGTTCAAAATGAAAAATCAACCAGACAATGCAGCTGATAGAATCACTATTAATATAAATAGTTGAAATCTTTGAAAATCAACTAGAATTCCAATTTACTGGTGGTTGTTGAAGAACATTGAGAAGTAGAGTTGCTCACACACACTGACAGTACCTTCATGTGTGTTGAGAGTTCATTCTTTAAGTGTCCTTGCCTGAGCTGCCAGAAGCTTATTCATTATTATTATTATCCACTGAAGTGACGGTGTGGGGTGGAGGCTTAGATCTCATACAGAGCAGAGCAGCAGTGATTGTTCAGGAGGAAACCAGAGGCACACACACTGGAGCCTTCTGTTTTCTCATGACAACACAGAATACATGTTACTCTGCTCTTTTTAAACTGATCCTTTTAAGAGGGGGGGTTCTGTAAATGGAATACCAACATGGGTAAATGTCTTACATTACTTTTTTATGTATTTAGAAAAAGGCCAACAATGCAAATGTTATTTTTTAACAAACACTCAAAAAGTCTGTATATACATATTTATATTTCGTGTTTTAATAAAACCTTTAAACAATCAAATATTTAAATGTTTCACCTTTTTGCATGTAATATAATACACAGTTATCAAATCTCATCCCTCCTGTCTCATACAATAATACAATCTTTCTCTCAACTTAGTTAGTTTACAGTTTTGATTCCTTTGAGTGGCCCAGTCTCGTGGCCCAGCTGTGCATCTTGTTTCAGAATGGAGAATGAAAATGTTTTTTTAAGTCACCTTCAACAAAAGAAATGTAAATAGAAAAACTCATAGGAAGTCAGACAAGTTATTTGAGGCACTTATTCATATTCAGTTTATTACTGGCAGTAGAAGAGAACCTCAAAGAATTCCACTTTAAATAATCTTTCTTAACCAACCCGAACCTGTGAAAGTCCAATATTCAGTCCCCTCGCTTTTTTTTTAGTCCTCACCTTTTACTGCTCTCTATCTGCTGGTTTAAAAACAACTAAAGACGCTTAAAGGTTCGGTGTGTAGAATTTAGTCACATCTAGTGATGAAGTTGCATGTTGCAGCTGAATACCTCACCTCACCCTCCTCTTCCAAACATGAAGGAGAACCTGTGGAAGCCTCCTATCCAGGCTGGACTACTGTAAACAACATTGTGACCTCCGTTCCCAAAGTAAATATAAAGTATTTAAATATAAAGGGTCCATTCTAGGGTAAAAAAAACAATCATTTGTACAACTTAAATGATTACATACTAGTTTAAACATAACTAGGCTTATGTTATATTCAATTTCTGCCAATAGATCTTTTTCACCTAAATCTAACAAACAGAGCCTTTAAAAACCTCATTGGGCTGAAGGGAAATGCAAACTCAAATGCTAGTTCTCTACTGGTTCATCAGTGAGTGTTATTCTTTCATTTGACATATGTTGACTACAGCAGCTTTAAGTTAAATTTGATACATGTTTGACCTGTTCGATGTCAGTGTTGATGATGGGGCACTAAGATGTCAGTAAAGGAAAAAAAGGTAATATTTATTGATTGATTCTTTTAATGTATTTGTTTTTTCTATACAGGAACACAACATAGGAAAACAGAAAAGTATTTACAAAAAACATCTCAATTTCTCTCCACTTCCTCCTTCCATTCATTTCAAGGGTTTTACAGTTTAGTTATCTTGGTTCAACTTCACCAGAGGGACCTGAGTCAGAAGGTAAAGGGTCAAAGTCCTGCTGACACATCAACACTTGGTTCAATGGACATTAGGGTTTTTTTTTATAGATGAAGATTATAATCCTTCTCAGGAGTCATCGAGGTCAGCCGTGTTACTGCTGTCGTTGTCATTAGCAACCAACACTTCTCTGTTCTCATAGGTCCAGAAGCCGTTGAGGTCGATCAGGATGCTGCTGACTGTGTCACCCTGGCAACTGTTTACTAAATCCTGGAGAGTGATTTTATAGGGGTCTTTAGGCTTCACCATGTCAAATATCTCATCCTGAGAAGAAACAGAGGTCACGTGTCACCTTTTTTTTTTTTTTTTTTACATCAAAAACCTCAACAGATCAAGGTTCAGGCATTTAGCTGTAAGGGTTAAGGTTAAGGTAAGGGGATAGGCGATGCATTTCACCAATGAGTGTCCTCACAAAGTGTCTGCATGTGTGTCTGTGTACAATATACCTTGACATCCTGAAAGGAGACAGGCTCTTGACTGTGCACCTTCATCTGCTCCTGAATGGCCTGAAGAACACAACACACAAGTGTCAGGAAACAATGACATAACACGCTTTGTGTGAACAGACAAAAGCTTCTTGCACTTCTAGTAACAAGGATATGAATGAATGTGTTTCTGTGCGGTCTGTGTGCGGCTGATACCCTGAAGAAGAAGTTGAGGGAGAAAACATTGAGATATCCACGATTCTCCATATCCAGAAGTTTAAAAATGTACTGCAGCGCTGCTGGCTCCTTCCTGTTTTCCAAGGCCAATACAAAGTCTAGATACGTTTTATAGTCCTGAGATTAAAGACAAAAACACATCATGTACATCATAAATCCAGGTTAGACCCATCACAGTTATCTGCAAAACTATTACTGAAAATATACATTAAAAACACATTAAGACCAATTTAGACCAAAGCACTATACAACAATAAAGAGTCATTTAATATATGTGTCAGAGCCCAGAGGACACACTTGTTTTTATTAACTGAGCGGCTCAAGTTTAACTTTCTGAGTTACTTTGAGTTGAACATTGACACACAGACAGGTGAGAAAACCCACAATAAACTAGGACACACAACAAATGCAGGTGAAGATTAAAGGGCTTCCTGTATGGATCTGATGATGAATTTAACTGCTTCAGTCACAAGAGCTGAACCCAGTTGAGTCCTGTGAGATTTTGGAGACCAAAAAGCACCATAGATATTCCGGCCTGACACGTGACTAAGATTCTTTTTGTTTTTCACTATCTGTATGTTTACTACAGCTGTAGGTACAGTCACTGATTGTACCATTTCTCCATCATAGGTGAGATACTCCTGAAACACTCTATCCAGGAAGACTGGGGTGAGAGTCGCTGTGCCGTAGCGCGATAGTTCCTCTTTGCTCAACATGCCGTTGTGGTCTTTATCCAGGTTGAGGTATTGGCCTTTATGGACAGAGAGACATAAAAATTCAGGAATGAATAAGACAGAGCTTTATTTTTACTCACACAGATGCAAACACACATGCAATACATTTTTGTTGTGGATCCAGAATTAGCTCAAGTATATGAAACCATCTACATAACAATTTTATCTTCTAGAATTTGATTTAATGATGTATAATTTCTGAATTTATGTGGCTGACTTGGTACATGCCACATCTACCTAGATATAAATGTTCAGCGTGTAAAATGTTGTGGCATCTAATGGGAAAGTTGCATATTGCGACCAAATGTACAGATTAGGTTGAGGGCAACGAAAACACAACAATTCTTAGTCCTATGTTATTATTATTATTATACACTCATGAAAACATCATTGTTAATATTACATTTAATTTCTATTAATAGATCCTCCTGAATCCTACATGTTGGACTTTTACACTATTGGCCAAGTGCAAACAAATATTTTAAAATACAGAAAATTGTGTTTTGTGACAGACGATACAGAATCTTAAATATTGTATTACATTTTATCATGTCCCACACTGCTGAAGATGTAATGCAATGCGAGGCCCCCCAAATACCTTTATGCACCTGAGGGTTATTTAGTAACTGTTTGATTAGAGATTGGAAACCTCACCATAGACCCGCAGAGCCGATGGGGCAGAGAACCAGTTGGATTCCTGACTCTCCTTCGATAACTCCTCATCTCTCAACTAGGAGCACAGTGGGAGAGGTAGGGGGGGTTGGAGAGTGGGGGTAGAGTGAGAGAGGTGAATTCTTGGGACTATTGCTTCACAATGGAAGTCATGGAATAAAAACTGCATTAATCCTTATAATACAACAACAAAACATAATTCAGGTGAACAAAAGAATATTCCAGATTTTCCTGTAGTCCTGTTGGTGTAAACTTAATGACTAAACTAGAATGACAGTAGAGCACTACCTCCACCAAGGCCCAACAGTCCCCTCAAATTCAATCAAGCTGCACCAAATTTAAACACCTATAGAAATCAGTCCCCTGAATGCCTCATCTAAATCCATCCAATATTTCATTTGTTCTTCCTTGTTTCATCCCTCTACAAAAATCGGTTCAGGAATTTTCCCGTAATACTGCTAACCAAACATCTTTGGCGGAGAAGAGCATGAATGTGGATTTAAAAAGGTGAAGACATGAGTGGATAAATTACAAAGAAAACATATTCTACCTCCAATAAGTCGTCCAGGAAACTGCAAGCCAATATATCCTGGATTTTAATCTTTCCTGTAAAAAAAACACAGACAGATCCACCATACATTTAGTTGCTGAAGCTGACTACAAATTCTGTTCCTGTTACATGCAGAAGTGTAAAGTCCTTTTAAACACATGTTAAGGTGATCATTACCTTTTCTTATTTGCTCAACATTTTTAAAAATATCAGTGGTTGTTATGTCAGTGTTGTGTGTTTCTTGGTTATTCCCTATTGTCTACAACAACTCAAAGTCCCCACAGGGATGGTTAAAGCTTCTGATCTAATGATACAAGTCAGCAGATTTTGCAGCACAACATTTGTCCTGGTTTATACATGTGTCAATGTAGAATGACAGTCAAAGACAACACTATGTTTCAGTATGTGTTACTGCACTTTTTACTGTTGAGGCTCACAGTGGGGTTCAGTCTGACCTGTTCGGAGTGGGTCGAGGAAGAAGAAGAACTTGCGAACAGCAGTGCAGACGTAGAAAGAGTAGAAGGACTTCTCCAGTCCGTCCAGCTGAGGCAGAGTGGGGATAAGCTCCAGGATGTAGTTCTCCAGATCCTACACAGAATGAAGAGTCACTTTTCCTGAGTATGACCTCATCAAGTAAAAACTATATGTAATATATCTATAAACTATTAACTGTAATTTGTGGTTCCTGATGGAAATGCTCACCGACTCTCTGAGGTAGCCCTGCCCTGCCACATCGTACAGACTCAGACCTATCCGTGTCTGGTGCAGCCACACTAGATGAACAGAGAGAACAGACAGGAGTCAGGTAAATAGGGCAAGGAGATGTTTTTGTTTCACCCACTAAGCATACATAAATCAAGGAAGAAAAAATGAAGGTCCAGACCTTTCCTCATGACATAGTTAAAGAACTGCATGATGGAGATTCGGCCATAAGGGTCGTTGTGGAGCAGCTTGGCGTACACTCTGGCTGTGAAGAATTTTCTGAAAGAAAGAAGAGAAGAGTAGAAAAGTTATCATGAGGTTTCTTTCTAATAAAATGTTCTACCTCCACGTACAGAATTATCATAGCTGGTCTTTTTTAAGATTACAAATGTGTTTCTTTGCGAAAAAATGAAAACACCCCTTCCTTAAAAATGAACAGTGGACACTATATATGTGTAAATATATACACATATATATGTATATATATATATATTCTTAAAATGTGTTTTCTTCCTGTTTCAAATGTTAATATTTATTGCCACAGAGGGCATATGGAGCTGCACGTTGTTGAATGTGAAACACCACCAGAGGTTTGTGACCTGCCACATTAACTCCAGGTGGATATAAAGTCAACATGACAGGGGGGAATTTCCAGTAACAAACGTTGCTCTTGCTGGAATCCTTGGTGTAAAACAAAAACAGCACATTGCTGTTGCCAGTAAACATCTACTTCCTGGTACTTACTTGCACTTTGGCCCAGCCCTCTCCCCCACCTGCAGGTAGGCTTCATAGCTGATCATGGCCTCGTCTCCACTCACTGGAGGAACCTGGTGCTTATCAAGCAAGAACCACAGATTCTAGAAAATGAGAGTTAAGTAGATGTAAAATAACAAACATACAGTGTTGTCATTTATGTAGAAGTTAATCCTTATATTGTTTCTGATGACTTTAAAGTGTGCGTGCTTTCATGCTTGTGGTCCAGGCATTTCTCATGTTGTGGGGACCTCAATCTGTTTGCAGTCACATTATAGGGACTTGTCTTTATTATGGGGACAAAAAGCAAGGACCCATAACATAAATAATTAAATCTTATGGAGAAGAAGTTTTAAGATTTAGGTTTGATTTATTAGTAAGTACTATTATGGTAGGTTTACGTTAGGGTTAGCCAAGTAGCCACTAGGGTTAAATCTAGAGATAAGTCTCCAGGAAATCAATGAAAGTCAATGTAATGTCCTCTAAAGTCAGGGAGACACGATTTTGTGTGCGTGTGTGTTTTACCTGTAGTTCCTCATTATCCAGCAGTTCTCTGCTCTTCCTCTGGAGGAAGACAGCTCTGGATTCTTCTCTTAGCTTCTGAAGTAATATTTCATCCTCTCCTGGGAGCTGCACAACATCAACATCATCATCATCATCATCATAGTCATCATCACATCAGCCTCTGTTTTCATTTCTCCACATCATCATGTAACACTACAGCTGTATTATGGCATCTTTTCCTCTGCTGGTGACTACACACACACACTCAGTCACAACCAGATCATCATCATAATTCTCATCAGACTGATCTTGATTTGACAAAGTGTCATTAGTCACCTTTGCTGAATAAAAGGGGACTGGTGTCATATTAATAAAAAGTTTTCATCTAAACTTTGGCTTGTCTAAATGTATCCTGCAGTTGTGTTATTTATGAACAAAGTTTTGCCTTGAAGCTAAAACTCTCGTCGTTTCTTCTAAATATTTTATTTACTATTACAAATGCAGTTAGGGGATTCAGTGCTGGTCTTGTTCTTGTACCATTACACAATCCAAACTAGGCACCAGTGGGTTTACACGTGTGTGTGAAAGATACCCGGTAGTAGAAGCGTGGGATGTTCCTGTAGGACTTGTCTTGGTCTTTTCCTCCCCTCCACTCTGTGTAATATTTAGTGAACAGCTCAGTTTCTTCCACTTTCTTCTCCTCCTCACTTCTCTCATCTGTACAAGATGAGAAACGATTAAAATCACAATCAGATCCAGTTACATGAAACCCAAATGTCAACACTGATTTAGCTAAGTGACTTAAACTCGATACATTTAGGTAAGTTAGCTAGCTAACGTTAGCGGAAGTCCAAAGTCTTTCTTGCCTGTTTTGGAGTTTACTATCCTCCTTTTCAAAATACCAGCCCAGTGAGGCTGTTCTTCTTTAGCCATATCTGCCCCGGAAATACCCTACTCCTTCATAAAGAAACACTTTCTGCGCTAAAGTTGAAAACAGTGTGAAATTCACTTGTGTACAAATGTAGCTTAACTATAACAACGTCAAGTTGACGAGATAACACGATTATAGCTTCCGGCTGAGATTAAAAATAAAAGCCTTCCCCAATAGGAAACAGTAGGCAGCACTGTAAAGATCATTATCATAGTTTAGGTAATGACATTTACTATAAATTCAAAATAAAGATACAATAATAAACATATTAGAGTAATAATGAGTTATGGGGAGTGAAGGTGAAGGTGAATTAAAAGTAACATGGCGTATGTAAAGCACATGATGTCTATCTACAGATATGTGTACATGTTTAATTATGTATAAAACAAACAAATCTTCTGCAGTATATTCCAGGTGATACATGTTCCTCCTTTACTTTGTAAATATCTTTTCCGGTTTCTATCTTTAGTTATTATACAAACTTGACGCAGCTCAGACACGGAGCTGTCGAGCGTTGATGACGTCAAAGTGTGCGACTACAGCCATGTCTGAAGTTGTCTTCAGGTTGTATTCACCTTTATCTCCAGTCTATGGTATTGGCCCATGAAGAGATTGTAGAAAGACCGAGCTCACTGTGTCCATGTAACGGAAGTGTGAGTCAGTTTTAATTGGTTCTAACTGTCTATAGCTTTAGTCCTCATGTGACCTGTGGTGAAGCTGATCAGTCTCATTTCCAGGTCAAAGATTCGAGTCATAATTCCAGCACGATAGTTTAGTGGTGAATTACTTTGAGAAATATTTGTTTCTAAGATAAGTAGGCGAGATTTATATGAACGATTAAAGTTTGAATAAGTCCAGAGTCGAAATTCAGAATATGGGCTCTAACTTTATATCCAAAGTCAGAATATTATTGAACCCCCTGAAGCCTTTCCTCACCGTAAAGCCAGCACAGCTGCATCCCTCTGCAGGCTTCCTGTGCACCACACACACTAACTCCAACTCAGGTGGCAGAGGGAACAGCGGACAGACTGATGGACATGGTGGAGTAAAGTATAGGACCGTCAGACACAGACAAGGGGGATTGTGGGAAGACTCAGTGGATGGAGGAGGTAACAGATCCACTGTGAGGCAGAAGCCGTCCTTCCCCAAATCTGTATTTTCCGCTGGGACGTCGAAGAGGACGACAGAGATGCTGAAGAGGAAGGCAGCGCTGGCCTCGCAGGAGCCTGAGGAGGAGCCTGAAGGGAGGGAACCTCGAGGAGCAGGTAGGACAAACTGGAGCCGTATGATTCCACATGTGGCCATAAAAGCCCAAATTGAGTGCTTCTGGTAAATTCTAATGTCACTGTTCATTCATACACACTGATCTTAATTATTTCATATGTTAAAGGTACAGTGTGTAGAATTTTGTGATATCTAGTGTTGAAATTGCATGTTGCAGCTGAACACCCCTCACCTCACCCTCTCCTTCCAAACATGAAAAAGAAACTGTGGTAGCTTCATTTGTCATAAAACTCAAAAGGTGTTTAGTTTGTTCAGTCTGGACTAATGTAAAAAACATGGCGGCCTCTGTAGAGAGGGTCCCCTTGATGTAAATGTAAAGTATTTAAATATAAAGGACCTTTTCTGGGGTAAAGAAAACTACAATTCATACAATTTAGATGAAATGAACTAGTGAAAACATCATGAGGATTATTCTACATTAAATTACTGCCAATAGATCCCTTTCACCTAAATCTTACATACTGGACCTTTTAGGTTTTTCTACATGATTGTAAACATGTAATGCACTACTTAAAAGGATTATCAGGAATTTGAAAAAAATAATAGTGAATGATCACTCTGTTTCACACAAATCAGTATACGACAAGATGGTCAAGTTTGAATTTTTTGTGGGCTCTGACTGACTGATCAGGTTTTCTTTTATAAAGCTCACATAGAAATTGTTCTTATGTCATTTTAAAGCTGCTTTCCAGCGTTATGACATCTGAACGAATCCTTAAATGTGTATGGGAATAATTGTTTTAGTTTTTTGCATTAAATCCTGAATGTTTCATAGGAAAGTTGCAACCTCCTGACCGGCCACTTTCTACTGCTGAGTGGAAGAAGCTACAGGATTCTCTGGGAAGTTCGTCACGCTTTGACATTAGGATGATTCGTGTGCTGTTCAACTCCGGGGCAGACCTGGGTATCGCCAAGTGAGGAGGGAACACCGTGTTTGTGTGTCTGTGATTTGTTTCAATGTCCTTGCTTTGTAGTCAGTGCCTACAGTTTTGTGTGGTGCAACTGAAGTGCAATATGAAATCTTCTGCCGCAGGTCTCTGCTAACTTTTGTAGCCATGGAAACAGGGACGCTGTCCTATGAGCTCCTACTACAGTACCTCTCAATGTGTGTGAAAGGAGGCCATGATGACGAGGTGTTTGATGTCTATGACATCATGCGGGGAAGTTTCCCTTCTCTGGAAACAGGAGCCACCAGCCTCTTTATCAAGTCTTTCAGCCGCACAGCGAGGTGGAGGGAGGCTCTCAGCATCCTGCAGGAGGTCAAGAAGGTGAAGAGATTGTTATATATTGATAGATATAGATATGTATGTATAAGTCATAGTGGAGCAGGAGGACCTGCCATACGGTGCACTGTATATCATCACCTTATTTTACTGTCGTCCCAACAGGTGTTTACCCCATCACCACGTAACTACAGTGATGTCATCACAGCAGCAATCTTGCACGGTGACATGACCACTGCCTGGGCTCTTTACGACGAGCTGATTGAAAAGGGACTGAGCCCTTACCAGGAGACCTGGGGTGCTCTGTTTAAGGGGGTGGGGAACAATAATGAAGTCAAAGCAGATGCGATGACTCAGTCTGAACACCAGGAGAGGCTGCTGGGAGTTCTTCTGTACATGAGGAACAACCAGATCTACCCCCAGAGCAGCCTCGCCAGCAGCATCAAGACCTGGTTTGAGAGGTACAATGCACATCTTTAAACTACATAACCTTTTAGAATGTAGAATAATTCACCTTAAGAACCTTAACAAACACAACAGATGGATGGTGACAAGATGTGATCGTTCTCATCATCGATGGGTTAAAACATGCTGCTTTTAAAAGCACAATTTTGTCCAAGAAAATATGAGCATTGAAAGTTGTATTCAAATATTTCTGAATATAGTTGATACAATCTATACTCAACTGCACAAGATGTTCTCATAATTACAAAGAAGAAGGAGCTTCGAGCTTTTTAAAGCCATATTGTTCTTAACTTTTTTTCTGTTTTCTCCATAAATGAATGAATTCATATTCATACACAAAGTAATTGCCCCCTATCTGTATGAACACAATCCCCCCCTTGACACTTTGATTCAACTCGTCTCATTTAGCTTTTGCTCTTGTCCCTCTATCCTCTGTCTCTCTTGTCCACCCTGACCTCAGTCTCACAGGACAGAAATGGACAGGAAGTTGGACCAGCGCCAACCCAAAGTAATTACACCACTTCCTTAAAATCTTCATAGCACCTTATGTCATGCATATGTATATGCACTGTGTATATGGACTGTTTTTGTATGTGTGTGTGTTCAGGGGTCAGTGTAGGTGCTGTGGGTCAGAGTTGGAGTCCATCCAGCTGAGCACTGAGGAGTACCATCAGCTGAAAGACAGCGTGATGACTGACATCATTCAGGGACAAGATGTTTTTAACAAGACTACACCAGAGGTACACACACAGACACATGCACACAGACACATGCACACAAACACATGTGTGCACACACAAACTAAATTTGTATACTTAGCAGGTTTTCAATCCTAAGTGTGAAGAAATCTCCAATGATAAAACTCTGCAGTCATAAAGATTCAAACCTCTTAAAAAGAATCTAGGATTATAGGTGTAGTTCCAAGAATATTTAGTATCCAATGTATTAAAAGTAGTTTCACTGTATGCAGTTTGAAAGTACAAATGGGTATTGGCAGATTATTTTCTATATATTTGATGATATTCACTTCTATTCATTAATTTGTACTAGTAATATGTCCATTAAATATAATCTACACTCATATATTAATTTGAATGAATACAGAACATGATCAATAATACATAAAGCAATTTGTGGTTCATCAGTTTCAGAACTTTAAAGTAATGTTCAGTTTAAAAGAGTTTTTTTTTCCAGCTTTAAAGATAGGAAATAATTGATACTAATTCATTATTCTATGTTGTTCAAACATCTCTAAAACTGCTCTTTCTAGACCTAGGTACAGGAGCTTCTTTAGTGCCTTTTCTGTCATTCTTACTAGGTGGCGCCATCAGATCACATGCAGCACAAGGTTGTGGCGGTTAGTTGAAGCAGCTTATCAGACTCTGACTTCTTTCAGTATCTACATGACTGAGATGGAAACAGATCTCCTCTGACGCACTGTAAGGAGAGGACTTTCCAGCTTCACCACTGTACTGTCTGTCCTCGTGGTTCTAAGATCACACTCATTCATGTCTTTGGACTTTGATATTCAGTGATGAATCCAACACATAGACGATGATATGACTCATTCATTTCCAAAATATTTTAACACATTTTTGTAATGAGAGTTATAGCAAAGGAGGATTGTTATCTGACTGTACCTTGGTAGGCGCGGTGACCTCCTGTCTATAACCACTTTAGATATAAATGTTTCTTTAGGTCATATACCTGCATTTTAGTGCATTTCAGTCAACTAAGCTCTATTATAAAGAGATTTTAAACAGTAACAGTTAAATATTGTACACTTCCTACACATTAGAGTTGGTATGGACAACAGACATAAAATATTAGAGGAGCTGGTTGGTGGATTTCCCCTCTGTTTCAGCCTTCATGCTTTATAATAAACAGATATGAGAGTCAAGTCAAGTTTCTTAATAAAGCACGTTTATTAACAGCTTTTACCAAAGTGCTGTACAATAAATACAAACATATATTGGTAATTATTGGTAAAACAAGGACATAAAATATAGTTAAATAAAAGGCTAAAATGTAAAATGAAAAACAGTAAAAGTGAATTCAAAAGCCTTAGAAAACATGTGGTTCTTCAGTTTGACCCAGTTTTCAGTTAAATACGACTATGGAGGAAGAACCCTTGGACAAGTTGTATTGATCTTTTATCTAATGCTCTGCAAGAGCGAGGAATCAGGGAATTTCCCAAAATGACAGACTCTTCCTTAAGTTAAAGTGCTTTCAAAGTGATTGTAGTCAAGCCACATGTTTAATAGACAGCCTTAGCATGGTAGCACCTACATGCACACAAATCTGAACACAGAACCAGGGCTGTGGTTTTAAGCTGTGCGACAAAGACAGTCATCACTTCTTCGAGTTCTTTACTGGATTTGAATGTACTGTCTGTTTTTTTTAATAATACCAGTAACTCAAAAACAAGGTTATTCACCTGAAATAGCTCAAGAGAGAGACTTTGTAACATCAGTAATATGTAGTTAATAATATGTCATATGCACACAAGGAGTCTGCATGTGTTCCTTTGAGTTCTGCTGCAGAAAGGGGGAGTTTGTTGGTGGAATATTTAGTTAAATCGAGGGGATTTCCAACAAGAGAAGCATCATGTGAATCTGGATCCCAGTTCCTCCCGTGGGAGCAGACAGAGGAAGTGCAGACAGACGTGAGGTTTAACTCGACTTTATTCATTCTCAATTAAGGGCAATTCATTTTAAGGGCAAACAGAGGGCTGCAGACAACAATGAAGCAACAGATGAGACTGCACCGATTCTTTCTGTCTTTCTTTAAACCCATATTGATGTATGGATAGATTTTCAGTTGAATAACACAGAAGGACTTCAAGATTGTTGGCAGAGTAAACTAACTATATATTTTGATAAAGCACAGAGCTTTGTTTTCGAGGCTGTGATGTACGTTTGATTTTCAGTGGTGATGTATGGCATTATATCAAAGTGCACTTCTCTTTGTTCACCTTGTTTCTGAAAAAAAAATCATAGAACAGTCTACAAATGTATTTTTGATCAGCTGTATTGCACTTTACCCACTGTACAACTGCTGTTGTGTTTTTTCCCCGTTAGAAATAGATAAATATAAATGTTGATCTGACAGAGCATAGTTCAGCACAAGAAAAAATATTATTATATTATAATATTGTTCCCATTTCAATTCACTGCAATGCAAAGTTGCACTTCAATGCCAAATATCACAATAAATCAAACATAATAAAATGCTTACTAGGTTTCAGGTCTATATAGTTGTGTGTTATCACTGCAGCTACTCTTACCAGTCTTTTATCTCGATTACTGTGGGGTTAAGATAATACAATATTAACTTTGTTGATCCCACACCAGGGAAATTCACTTGTTACAGCAGCAGATAGTCAACAAGAGGTTGACAAAAAAACAAGTGAAAGTACAAAATAGAATAGAAATGAATAGAAAAACTAGAATATCAACTAAGTAGAGCACATATCTCTTGTAAGGCCAAAGCTGCACCACATTCCACCCACTCATAGATATCAGTTTCCTAAACATGCCTGATTTTCTTTTTAATGAAAATGTTGAAAAAACATAGATATACTGTATTTACATATTATATACCATCTCACTTTGTATTTGTATTTGTATCAAATATTGGCTAAAAACATTATAGCTAATTATGATTTGAATTACCTGAAAATGTGATATACTAATTCATCTCTAATGTAATGTGAAGCAGTGCATTGGTTCTACATGAATGCAGAGGGGGAAGTGCAGCACTTTAATATCAGTTATTACAGTGAACAGATACAGTATTATAACTGAGTTAAACTCAACAGGAAGTTTTTATTAAAGTGTTAAACTGATGGATGAGCACTGTGATTTCGTGCATTATGTAGGTCAGCGATAATGGCAATGCTTTTAGAGTAGTGTCATCTTTGTATGATAGTCATAAGTCATAATGTAAGCGTATGTCTGCAAGTGTAACTTTGTTGGTCCGTGTTTGTGTGCGTGCGTGTGCATGTGTGTGTGCATTTGTGTGTGTGTGTGTGTATTCACAGCCGCACAATGAGTTGGTTTCACATATCAGCTCTGGAAAGTCCCGGGATAATTATACTTTCTGTCCATCTCTCTCTTCCTTCCTCTCCCTTTTTCAATAGCTCATTAATTTTCCTTAACAAATTAATATTTCTTTCCTTTTACTCCACTATTGTTTTTGTTGTTCTACATTTTTGCTCCATCAAAACCAATTACCTGAATCTTCTCCAGTCTGTCTTCTATCATCTCGGTTATTCTAAGATTCCTTTTGTATCCCACCTAAACCACACGTCTCCCCCATTTCAACCTAAACCTGCTCCAGCTGCACGTTGTGTTTGCAGAATTAATTATTGAAACATAACATATGTGTGCGTGAATGTGGTGAATTAAAGCAATCAGAACAGACACCGTAGCATGCAGGCGTTTTATTTAGATCACATCTGAGGAGGGATCTTACTGTTCTTTTGTTACATCATTAACACATTTTGATAGTGTGTGATAGTGTGCACGCAGTTGAGTTTCAAGTCCAGGGGAATTCACAGCGGCCTATTTCCATACTGCTGCTATCTAAAAGTGAAATTGCAAACAGTGTTCTCATGCTGGCCCTACTCTTACATTCAGCACTACTCTCCTGTTGTGGTGCAAAGCTGTAACACAGTATGTTACACTTGCGTAGAATGAGACTCACATGTGCGTCAGAATGAAAGAACAGGGGCGAAGACTGCGTGCTACATTTTTTTTTAGCAAAATTAAAATCTAGCCAGATTGTGAACATCTCCAGATGTTGTTCCATGCATACACAATAAGACACATGCAGAGGAAGATGGTGTGAGTATTTAACATCCAAATAAAGCATGATCAAATTGATCAATTTACACATTTATGATATATAGATAAGTCTGAGAGCCAGCTGATAGTATCACACTTTCTGCTATTGTTATGTCAACTTGTTCGAATCTGAAATAAGTGTAGCCCCAAAAAGAAACTAAAATGGCACTCAGTACAGCAGGGCTCCTTAAAGTGGGGTCTGGGGAGCCCAAGGGTCCTTGGCAAAAAGGGAAATCTTTTTTTTTACAATGTTTTACAATTTATTCATCCATATGGAAAACTGACAGAATGTTTTCATACACGTCCTGTGAAGTTAAAGAAAGTGATAAAAACAGATTTCTGGATCTGCCCATAGACCAGATCCACACCAAATTTGTGGAAATGTGTCCCCAAACATGCACAGTAAACTTTATGGTAACACACACAACCCTTATCGTCAGTTACGCTGCCACCAGGCACTGCCACCTGCGTTCTGAGGCCGGTTACCTTTATTACTGTCAAGCCTGTGATCAGTCAGTGAGGAAAATCAGCCAACCATTACCTCAGTGAGCTCACAGATGGAGTGGCTTTACTAGAGTTTTCTGTACGTTTCCTGTATCATACATTTTTACGATTATTGCTCAGAGGCATTCATGGTCTCTTTGAATAGGGTTGGGATCCCACACCAGGGGTCTTCCACAGAGACGTGCAGGCAGGATGTCTCTCACACTGATAAGACACCAGAAGGGTAATAAAATATAAATACAGAGCTCCCCTCCATTCTTTGCTCATACTCATGGTCATTCAGAGTGATGTGTACCACGAGTCCATCCTCAGAGGCTGAATTAAACCTACAGAACGAGTGTTTGACTTTGTGCTTAATTCACAGAAACTGCCAACACGTAACCTTTACTGAAAACGAGGAAGGCTGCAATTATACCTGCAGTATTTAGGCCTCGCCACATTTATTATTTTGTGCACAATGGTCCTGAATGAGAAATGCATTTATAATAGTAAGTTTGAGAAAATACAGTGTCATAGCACAGAGAAGTTTGTGAGTAGTTACATCATTGAATTGTTGAGTAACAGACTTTTGCTCCTGACTAACTGACTTCAAGTGGTAAAATTTAAAAAGAAAAAGTTCCACATAGACTGTTTTTATAGAATCCCCTGACTTCTTCTATTGCGCAGACTTGAAATCAAATTCTTAATTTGCACCAGTACTTTGGTTTACATTATCACTCCCTTGTTGCATTTTCATCCATCTCACAGAAACTTCTGTTAACATTTACACACTATTATAAAGTAATATGGGACTCTATGGTTAATAAGGAAAAAGCAGTAGGTAATGTCAAGGTTTGGCTCAACATCCAGGCTTCCATCCATATCTGTCAGTTAACTCCTGTCTGTCGAATTCTGTTTATTCATGTGTCTGTTCTAGGAGCTCGAGAGTTTCAAAGTGTTTGTGAAGAGGAAGCCAGCTTTTGATGTGGTCGTAGATGGGCTGAACGTAGCAAATGTCAACAAGGACAAAAGCAAACAGTCAGAGACGGTGGGTAAAAGCACACACATGTGCCCGCACACACACAAACCGTTTAACAGTCTAGATTTTAGTGTTTTCTTCCTACATATGTCTGTCCAACCTTGGGGCTTTTGTGTCGTTTGCACAATGACTAACCCTTCAGTGTGCGTCTGTGTATAAATGATGGTTGCATGTAGGAGGTGCTTTCATAAATGGCCAACACTTGATTTTAATGAGCCCACTTGTCTGGCTGCCCACATTTGTCTTTTCTGTTTGTTATATATATGTCACATCTTGCTCAGATGTAATGCAGCTGCAAAACAAAGGAAAGTCCAAACTGATAAAGCTAGTACCATGTCTACTCATCTAGTCTGTGCGAAGAATAACTCATGCTAACACGCTCACAATGACGTTGGTAACATGCAAATTTTGTAGTTAGTCATCGATACAGTAGAATGTGTCATATTCACCATCCTATTTTAGCATGTTAGCATTTCCTAACCTCAGAAGGATCTGCATAAATATCAGTCCCGTAAACATGCCTTTTCGTCAAGATCCATTAACTACTACATTAAAAAATAAAATTGAAAAACGTTCCTATCCATCGATGTTAAAGGAGGTAAAAAAAAAATATCTTGGATCAATGCAACTCACATTTACATATGGTATGTCTGTAGAATTGAAAAGTTGCATGTTGTTGTTGATCACAAAGATAATTCTTATTCACTTCTCTGCCATTTCTGTCTTTTTCACATGCAAGAGTTTTTTTTATGATCTATGTCACTCACACATATACATGCATCATTCTAATGGCTTCTATTATAGCAGCAGAGGCTAACAATTTTAAAACCCATCTTAAAACCTCTATCGGTCATTTTAGGCCCTAAGACGGACATTTGTGCCATTAAATACTCATGTTCTATTTTGAATTGTACGTATAAAGTGTTGAGGTATGTGTGTGTTTCAGTTGTTGGCGGTGGTCTCAGAGCTGGAGCGCCAGGGCCTGACCATCCTTGTGCTGGGGAGGAAACACATGCTGCAGCCCTCCAGATCCTGGGATAAACGCAACATGAGTCTCATCCAGCAAAAAGCACATTGCTTCTTCACTGACAACATGTGAGCACCTGATAATGATGTAGAACAGTTTGGAGCACACTTTATAGATTAGGGTAATGGTGGCTTTTTACTGAGAATGTGTGGAGTTTAAGGAGCAGCAACAAACAAATGCTAAAAAAAGACTTGGATTGCAGTGTACTGAATAAGTCATTTAACTGCAATTGATTGATTTTCCATATATTGAAAGCTTCTCTAAAATCAAGCATTTAGCTTTCAGCGCACTGTTGTGGTTTGTTTTCAGGAGTTTTGATTTGTGATCCTTTTCCCCTCTCCTGCCTGTCTGTGTCTATCAGTTCGGAGGACGACCCCTTCTTGCTGTATGCTGCTTTGCATTCTGGGAATCACTGTCGGTTTGTGAGCAGGGACCTGATGAGGGACCACAAGGCTTGCCTGGCCGACGGAGCCACCAGGCGGCTCTTCTTCAAGTGGCAGAGAGGTCACCAGATGGTGGTGGATGGATACCTTCCAGCAGGCAAGAGGGTCCGGTTTCAGGTGAGGAAGAGGACGAGTTGGGTTGAGGGAGGGTTGTTAGAGTAGAGGGTGGATACTTAAGCACAAAAAAGAATGCCAATCAACTGTCTCCCTGTTTGTGTGTTTAGAGTATCCCCAGCTACGACACCATCGTGCAGACTTTTGGAGACTCGTGGCACATTCCCTATGACAACACAGAGGACAGGACCACCTATGAAGTACCACAACGATGGCTTTGCGTCACACAAAAAAGCTGATCACACACACTGATTTTACTGCACAACATTGTGGTGGTAAATGCTCTGAATATGATGGTGGACCTGTGAATAAAACTTTTACCACAAATGAAATATTTGTGCATTTTTGTTTAACTTTAACTCAAGAGCTTGACATGGATATAGAAGCCACCAGTCGTACGGATCACATCCACCACAGTCGTGTAGGCTGTCGTTTGTGAAAACCTGGTCACGCCAGCCGCAGCTTAATAAATGATGATATTCAAGGTGTCATGGTACAAGTTCTTGGATTGGAAAACAATCTGAATAAAAACATTGAAAGGTATTGAAACGGTATTACGGACGTTGGATAAAGTAAGAAAAACTGATTTTGCTTTTCCACACAACAATTTAATAAGTATAACAAATTATATATACAGTATATATGTAACTGCAGAATGTTTTAGAATATTAAAGGGAAGATCTGCAATTTATAATATATATAATTATGTCACTCATATCTTGCTCTAATTGAATAGCTGTAATTTCTAAAAAATCCTTTCGAGAATTTCCGCCTCACCTTGTTCACTGACATCCCCACTATCTACATATCAAGTGTGAGAAGATTTTACTGCAGACTTTGAGAAATAAAAGGGAAAGTCTGCTATTTTTTCAGTATTTCAGTCATAACTTGTTGTTATTTAATGTTTTAGTTCTTAAGAAGTGACCAAGGATTTTCACCTCACTCTAGTTCATGGTTTCAGAAGATTTTACTGTTTTCGAGAAAATTACAGGGAAAGTCAGCTAAATTTTCATTTTGAATTTATAGCGTAACATGCTCCAAATATTAATATGACTAAGAGGTGACAAAGACTTTTCACCTTACACTTGTTCAGGATGAGCCCACTGTCTGCAAGTTTTTCTAACTTACTGATATTAAATATTACTTTCAAAAGAATCCTTAGGATTTTGAGTGCCATAATGAACGTTGAGCCGATTTTACCTTACATTTTCTTTAAAAAAACATACACAATACATGTCATCCTCTTTGTGAATATTACTGTCAAACCATTCTAACAGATTTAATCAAACGTAATAAGTGACATCGTCAACCACCTTTACCGTAATACAGAATCAACCACTTTTACCGTAATACACAGAATAAACGCGCATCAACTTCCACGCTGATGGGACCGGACTCTCACAAACGACGGAGCACGTGACCGAGGTCTACATCCGGAGCAGAGGGTTCCCATGTTCTTCCGTCGCTGCCTCTCATCTTAGATTCAGTTTCACTCTACACCTGTTTCCTTGTGTTTACGTGTGTTTCTTCTCGCCGTCATGTCTCGGGGGTCGAGTGCGGGCTTTGACCGCCACATCACCATCTTCTCCCCGGAGGGAAGACTCTACCAAGTCGGTCAGTGGCGGGAGAAACGAGCCAGACTCAAGCTGCTCTGTCATCACTGCTAGCTAACAGGCTAACAACAGCTAGCAGCGTCTAGCTCAGTCATTCTAAGTGCGGGGTCGTGTAGACAGACAACATCCGTACATTGTGGTTTCATTCAAATAACTTGGACATGTTACAGTAGCATTTTAATAATAATGCTCACCACCTGGGTTCGTTTCATTTCAGTTTGATCGTTATACAGATATACACATTGCTAACTTTAGCTACCAGAGCTTGTACAAAGTTCACAAATGTGTACTTTGCAAAAATGTGTTGAAATTATTATTATTGCAAACTTATATAGCTACTAGTTATGTAGCACATGAATGAATTAGTATTTAGTATCCAGTAGTGTAATATATAATTTACATGACATGCTAACCAATCAGATTTGATTTATTGGAGTTTGATAGTAAATAGAGCCTACTGTTAGCAAAGCTTAGCTCATTTTAGCTATCACAATTTAGCTGGTGTTTACATATGTGATCTTGCTAAAAATTGGATTAATTCATTCTTTTGTTGACTTCGATAGCTTCCAGTAAAGTAGCACATTATTGAAGACGTGCTGTCACAATTGTTTTCAGTGGTCATTCTCTTGAACAAGTCTTTATAACTGAGCTGTGGTACTTGTTAGCCAAACACCATGGACAAGTATTGTCAAAACAAAACCTGTGAGAGTGTAATACTTCTATGCTGCAAAATAAACTTGTATAAATGTATGTAAATGCTAATCTACATCCATAATAGCACACAACTAGCAGTTTTGCTTCCAAACTTATTGATGATATCATGAATCATATCATCAGCAGTCTGTTACTGGAGTTGTTTTGTTCAATCTTCTGTCTGTCTTCAGAGTACGCCTTCAAAGCCATCAACCAGGGAGGACTGACATCTGTGGCGATCAGAGGGGAGGACTGTGTTGTGATCGTCACACAGAAGAAAGTCCCAGTCAGTATTCACAGGCACAAACACACACTTAAGTTTGTGTTTCTACGCCATCAGAGCAACATATGATTAGATAAACCATGTATCACTGGTATTTATTGATCTGTTACGCATGCCTGTATCTCATGTGTCTCTCAGGACAAGCTGTTGGATGCCTTAACAGTCACACACCTGTTCAAAATCACAGAAAACATTGGCTGTGTTATGACCGGCATGACTGGTAAGTTATATTTCATCTTGCTGCCCAGAAATGTAAAAGTATTAAAAGATAAAAACATTTCCACCATCTTTTTTGAAAATGTTAAATAACACGTTACCTCTGTATTAAGTGGTAGGACATACTAGTCCATTTTGCGCTGCATTATAGAGCTAGCAAAGTAGAAAAACTACCAAAAGTTGTAGCTTGTATCTCCAGACCAACCAAGTCTACATCTTTTATCAGTTAATTACCATCATGTTATTGGGTCATTGAGTGTCTTGCTTGACAACCATGTTGGTTGGTCCAATTTCAAGTCTTTCTGTCATCTAATAGATTCATTTGCAATTAG